GGCCCAATTTTAACGAAACTTGTTTTATTATGTTTCTATTCTCATTTAATTACAAATATGGCGGTATTGTGCGCTGTTTTTGCTGTATTTAATTACAGACAAGCCTACAAATAAACAATCTCGGAGTTTTATTATATAGATAGTATGACTTCTACAAATTCATGGTGTTTTCACTCAAATAAGCTCCAGTGGACTTAGAACGTTAAAAAACCGCGTTTCAATATCCGTGGTGGACTACCAATGGTGTAGCTTTGCAAACAAGCAAACGGAATCATTCAAATACATTATTGAAAAAAATGTCTTTGCTATATCATCTTTCCTATGTTTTAATGAGGGCGAAGTTCAAATCAATTTATCTGTAATTCGGAAAAGTAATTCAAATTAAGTTAGAGCACTACAGTATTTTGTAAATCCAAATTTTACTTGCAATTCCACCTATTACCATGTTCTCTAATCAATCCTTCATTCCCACTTTTAATATAGGCCTATATATACTTTTGTGCCATGACAAATGTGTGGAGACTTAACCCCCACCAGCATATAAACAAAGATCCTACTAATGCCGCTTGTTTGTTTTGTTTTGAATTTCGCGCAAAACTACACGAGGGCTATCTACGCAAGCAGTCCCTAATTTAGCAGTGAAAGACTAGAGGGAAGGCATCTGGCCATCACCACCCACCGCCAACTCTTGGAATACTATTTTACCAACGAGTAGTGGGATTAACCGTCACATTATAACACCTTCATGGCTGAAAGGGCGAGCATGTTTGGTGGAATGGGGATTCGAACCCACGACCCTCAGATTACGAGTCAATCGCTCTAACCACCTGGCCATGCCGGGAAAATATCGTAACTATTTGCTATCATTCCAATGACAGGACAAAAACGTTAGAATAGTAACTATAGCCTCTCTTTGATTACGCAACCCTCGTTTCTAAGGATAGGCAAGAAGCAGATGACTACGATCAACGAATAGACGCAAAATTATCTTTGCTTATAATTAAATTATGACCCTAAGCTCTAGAATGACTTTTCAGAATACCACGTTGTCAAGTAAACACCCATCAATAGAAAAGAGAAACCATAGTTTATAACTTTTCTATATCAAAATTTAATTACTATGATAAAACTTATTATAATCAGCCTATGTGGTTACCCAGAGCGGCATTCTCAGGCAAAACTAATTTCCACATGATAATTAGACAGGTCTGATTTATAACGGGAGGATCAGGATCGTCCAGAAAAATTGTGGACTATATGAGTTTTAGTTAAGAAAATAGACAGACTGGAGAAGTGGTTGAGGTTATTGCTCTCATTGAATTGTTTCTATTCAAAGTGCAAAGTTACAGTAATATTCCTGAGGGCAAAGTAGATACTATCTAATAAGGAACATTAGATAATTAGAACGAAAACAAGACACATAGAATCAGACTAAACAAAATTTTTGAAAATTTCTGTACTTATAAGAAAAAGTAAAAAAAAACAAAAACATATAGTATTCTTACATATTGCACCGGCTAATCAGCCATATGTGACAAATTGATAAGTTTTTGGCCAAGCTATGATTATGTGTGGCATTTCCTAAAGACTTTACACCATAATTTCGTTAACATTTATAATAATTTGAATACGTCTTAGATTATTCCACCTTACAAATTTTCATTTAACACTATTTAAAAAGGATACAGTATGAAGAAAAAGTATTTCATTCTTTGTCTTCTTCTGTTGGGTACTATGCGGGTCAAATAAGTGATTCTATGTATCTCTCTGGGGGTTAAGTCCCCACACATTTGACATGGCACAAAAGTATATATAGGCCTATAATAAAAGTTGGAATAAAGGATTGAGTGGATAATATGGTAATAGGTGGATTTGCAATTGAATAAATTATGTTACATGTTATGGATATATAGTTAAAATTATAACTGTGTGCATATAAACTGAAACACCACTTTTCTGTGGTGTGTATCTATGAAAGAAGTGATTGTATCTGCTATTTGGAATACTGCTTCCGGAAAAAGCCTAATTTTGGATAAAACATGGTCGTTCGCTAGTGACCACAAAACTAAGATGTCAAGCTGAACTATACTCCTTACCACTCTCCCTTCCAACACCTTTAGTAGATATAGTTCATCAATGTTTATATGCATGTGGGCATACTATATATTTTCATTCTACCGTCTTGTTTTAATATAGAACTTTCAAAAATGTTCATTTATTCCAAGTCTTACAACAACGTTTTTTGTTTTTTTTGTAAACTGTACGATCTGACGAAAAGCGCTATCTCGAATCGTCATCTTTCTTTAAATTAAAATATAAAAACTTGGCGATTGTTCCACTTATTATTTAATTTTGATATATTTTTCGCCTATGTGGTTATAACTATATGTCTCTTTCTATTGAAGGTGAGTAAACAGCTTCAGAAACTACTTGCCTGAAAACGCCTTATAATCCATTGACACTGGAAGACCTCTAATATTCTCTCTGTGAAGCTAGCACTTGTCAAGCCACTCAATAATAACTTTACATAAATTTTGCGGTGTCTCTTTTCAGTAAATACAACTTCGTAAATTTGCATATATTTGTGGATCAGTATCTATATAGTATTTACTAACAATACCTAATACACTTTGAAAGTATTTGCTAATTTGCAATATTATCCGTTACTCTATAAACAATGATGCTGTAAAAGAATGAATCCTTGAATACGTTTCTAGTTATCACTTCTCCAGTTACACTGGTAATTTCATTCTGTATCATTTTTCTGGACATGAACTGAGAAAATCTTTTAACTTTACATCACTCTTAGCACGGAAACGAATCAAAGCTAATAGGTTGCTTTGGTTTTGGCTCTGCTAGAGCTCTCCCGTCATCTTTATGGTCCCTAAGAGGTATTCCCTGTTTACCATAATAAATTATGTAGTCTTTAATGCTTCGTAATGCTTTCGTGTACCCCTTTTATCTATGGTTAAGTAGAACGCTATCAATGCGTAAGGAAGATTCATGGTGTCGCTTAAGCAAAGATTTTACATTTGCCACTGGAAGTTGATGATAATGATGTCTTTCATATAGAGAAAGAAACAGCTCTTCCGAGTGCTTTGCGAAAATATGTAAATATGCTTTCGACTAGCGAGCCGAATTTACAGTTACTTGTTCTTGTGGAAAACAGAAAGCATGGTAAGCAGCCGTTCTTTGACCTTGAATACACAAGGTCGCTGAACTTATTTAGCCATTTGATGTTGAATGGTATTTTTCCCCCTCTCATTGGTTTTGGTTGAAATTAAAAATTATTATCTGATTTAAAATGTATATTTAATTAAATATTTGAAATTTGTCATTTCTCCAAGTTTCGTGTGTACATATATACTTGTGTGAGTATCTAGCGAGGTCTAGAAAGGTTGCAAAGTCAGTATAAAGGCACTCAGGTAGAAAAACAAAAAAGCTATAATAATATCTTACATAAAACTCGTTTTCGCAAGGTTATCTATAAAACATTTTCAACTCTACGTGCTCTGATAAAATTTGCATATCCAGATAACCCATAATTCTACACTTCAGTTTATAACTGTATTTAGTAGTAGTATTCCTAAAAAGTTAAATATTAAATCTTTAAAAATTGCACAAACTCCTGATATTTAACTATAGATCATTATGTAATATTACCTTGATTTTGTTTTCGATTGTAAAATTAAATCTAGAATTGGTATTCTTTTTTGAAAAGTATTGTTTAACCGATTG